GGATGTTCTCTGATCTCGTTATCTGATTGCTATAAGCATTCTAAATCTTTATTAAAATATTTTCTTACCTCTGTATTTTTAACTGAGTTTCTGAAATTAGAGGTACAGAAAATAACAATTATTTACCTTTTCTAGAGAGAAATAACTGGTCATTTTGACCTCAGTGAAAATGAATGTGTTTTCATTAGATCTTTAATATCTGAGAAGGTAAACAAAAGGAATTAACCAAACAATTTTTGAGCAAACTGAGACAGAACTTCTCATGTATATACCAGCAGCAATTTCATCACAGTTTAATGTTTAGCGTGTAAGTTTTGCATTTTCACACCTAGAACTTAGTAATTGTAATGGTTAATTAAAAAACATGTGATGTTTTCTTCAGCAGATCATGCTCAGCTGAAACACTTTCCTACATTTCCACAGTGCTGAAACCTGTCGATTGCCTTTGTTTTCAGGAGTGCACTTTCTTTAACGAGGAGATTTATGTCTGTAAAGTGAACAGTGAAACTGTTTGGGTTTTTTTGCCTGGATTTGAAAATAAGTATTTCTTGTGCTATATTGGTGTAATATTATTGGAGATTTTGAAGTCTGTCAGACTCTGTTTTCCACCCTTAAAGCATAAAACTGAGGCAGAATAATGAAGTCGTCGCACTGAAATACAATTATGCAGAACCACAGAAACATTTAAACCATATCCAACCTTTCCACAACTATCTATCCCATGGTAAGAATTTATGTGAGTTAAAATCCACGATGTAAACAAGAGTGTCCTGTGTAAATATAGATCCACGTGACAGTTTTAACACTCACAAGTATTATGTGCTGCCGTGTAGGAGTTGGGTCACTGCTTATATTTTTGACAGTGTAGATTTAAATAGCTATGAGATAAATATGAAATCTAATATACAGATTATATCTAATATTTATTGCTTTGATACAGAATATTATAGAATTATAGAACACTACTGTAGCCAGTTTGCTCTTCAGCCATCGGCGTAGGCCACTCCTTCCTTCAGGGAAGGGAATTGTAAGTTGGCTGGGCCGAGTTCTGCTGGCACCTACATTGCTTTTATTCTTGGTCCACAGCAGTTTATACCAATGTGCTGCTGAATGCAGAATTTTCCTCACTGTTTATATTAAGATAGAAGTTGTTTAAATTCTAGCTCAATCCCAGGTTTATTTAGAATTGCTTAAGATGATTAAATGGATCCAAGTCAATTGATTTAGCTCACGTAAGATGTGAGCAGCCACCTGGAGAGGCCCCAAAGAGAGCCTCAGTCTCAAGGCTGCTGTCTCAGCACTTTGGCAAGATTCCTAACACCAGGTAGTATGAATCCAGGCCACTTGAAGGTGGTGGGGTTTGGATCTCATCCACCAGACCAATGTGCTTGTCATGGTCTGTCACACAGAGGCCCACGGGGAGCTGAGGCCACCAAGAACTGGCAGACTATGAGCCTGCCTTGAGCCACAAGCAAGCAGTCAACATTTCTGCTGCCGGGGCACCTTGGAACTGCCAAAACACAGCTATCTGTGCTTCTCTGGCTTCTAATTCATCCATTGCATCCAGAACTAAGGTGGCCAGATCTGGTTTGTGGTTGGAGGTTGGCATCCTCTCCCTGCTGGTGGATCGTGGCATGCTCTTTCCACCACACAAAGCTTATTGTTTTAGAAAGAGGAGCTACAGATTTTTCATACAATAAGATGTTGTCAAAAGAATTACCTAAAAACCTAATATCTTGAGGTCAACTCCTTTCAGATTTCTTTCCCAGCTGACTGGCATGTAGTTGCCTCAAAGAACAGGCCCTATAAGAATGGTGTTGAAGGAACCTTTGTGTGATTTTACCCAAGGCACACTCGTAGAGTGGAGAATTGGATTGCTCTGGATTTCTGGTGGAGTACAGACACACCAAGTTTCTTATTCAATGAGCTGACTGCAGAATATCTAGTTTTTTGCATTTCTTAGTCAGAAGGTATCTTTCTGTTCCAGGGGGCAGCAGCCCTTGCAGCTGTGTAGCTCAGGAGTTCAAGAGGACCAGTGAGAGCTGGATAAGGTCCTAATCTACTTCAGTGACCTGTGGACCAAGTTGCCGATTGGCATAAATATATCTCCATGTGAAGTGGTGGCATTAAACCAACAGAGCCTCTGTTTTACAGAGAGTTGCAGTACTGGGGAATAGTTTACATTCAGGCAGACTACGCTGACTGAGGTAAATGCTACTTGGTTGACTTTTGTTCTTACTTTTTTTTCTGAAAGTGTGTTTTTGACTTCCTGTTGCCGATGAACTTAGCACACACAGTAAAGCAGAAAGGTTTGTAGAAGTAATGGGGTTTATTCCATTAGCCAAAGATACAGATGATATTTAATATACTAGACACCAGCTTAGGCCTAGTTTTTTGTTATTCTTGTCTTCCTAATCAAAACAACCTTCATAGTGGCCAAGCACCCAAGGAGAAACCAGTGCCTTGAAGACCTGCTGCAAGATTTTCTCACTTTTGTCAGTTTGCTCTAAGATTTAGTGTGGGTTTTCTCTTTACAGTCAAAGTACAACGAAAGACTAAAGAAATGCTTTGTAAAAAGTTATAATTAGTTTGAAGTAAGATATTTTATTTTGGTGTATCACATGAAAAACTGAGACAGCATCACCAAAAGTCTTAAATTTGATATACCTCAGCATCCACAGATTTTCCAAAGAGGTTTTGAGTCATTTAACATTTACTAGGGCTGATTTAATGTATTTTGGCAATATTTTGTGTGGCTGTTTCTTTCTGCAATAATGAAATTGTCTGTCCAACAGTTTATTACTGTGCACTCCGCAGCAGTACAAGTGTCATTGAAGAATTTGGTTCTCGATATCAATATTCAACTAACTGAGGAAAAAGAATATTTGCAAAATTTGCTTAATATGTATCTCA